TCTGAGGGTAAAGGAGACTAGCTTGGGGGAGCATAACATGGTTTAAATAGGGTGCAAACCCTTGAAATTAGGGTTTCTTCCAGACTCGTGGACTCGTCGAGTCCAGGATATGGACTTGTCGAGTCGCCCACTTACACGTGCTGGAAATCCCGCCTCTACTCGACGAGTCGGGCAACAGACTCGTCGAGTCCCTCTTCAATACTTAGAAAAAAATAAACATTAAATAACATACCAGAAATGGGGTCGTTACACAAATGAGGATCGTTAGATCAAAATAAGCAATGGTTAGGATCTTTTGTCACATTTTTGTAAATACATGGGAAAGAAAAGGCGCGGGGGCATGTTTTTTAAATTAATCAGGGGCATTTTAGGATAAAAAAATTCATACCATCTTATCAAATGAATTACGCCAACTTCTATGCTCTGTCGATCTCTGGGAACCCACGATCCATCGTCTTCGGACCTCATCCATCGAATCACATTCAATCCTTCTTGATTTTGATGCTTCTGAAATCTTAGAGTTATGAAGCCTCAGATTATCAACATGATAAAGTTATGTGAATCCAAAGGTCAGAGGCTTATCCAAGGGCCGATTTAGGGTTCATAAAGCGGACATACGCCATCGTTATAAATCTAGTAAGTTTTCTTTCTCTGGTTAATAGTTTTGTTTCTCTTCTCTCTGTTGATTCTAGGTTAATTGTTTTGTTTCTCTACTAGCTTGTATTTATTTCTTTGGTTCGTTTCATTTTCAATACAAATTGATTCTCCATCATTCGATTTTGGTATCAATCGATCTCATCTATGTTTAATGTAACTATTTGTTTTGAACTAGGTATGTTTTATAAAGTTTGTTTGAAATCATTTACGCCTTCCATGTGTTCGACAAAATGCCCCAATCAACTATGCCTTTCACATATGTCAATCGATGACAATTGTCAGGGATCAAAGAGCAGTATTTATGCATTATTATGGAGGAGAATAAGAAATATAGGGTATGTTTTTCAGAAATTAATAGTCTTTTACTATATCTTGTCACTCTTAGCTACCACTGTTTATCGGTATTAGTCCTTTTGTGTTAATATTGAAGTTGGGTGTGCTTTTATACTGCAGAAATCTGTTATAGTTGATGTTATATTCGTATGTTTGGCAAAAATCTTGGTTCTTACTCAACAACGTTATGTCATGACTTTAAAGGGACTTAAATTCATGTGATTTTCCTAAAATTCAAACACCTGAACCAACTTTTTTGCACCTAATTTTGTTTAAATTTGAAACAACTACTTTTGTTTAGCCAATTTCACAAAAAAATGTCATTATCTTTTTGTAAAATGACAAAATTATGTTATGTTCAAAAGGCTTCAAAAGGGAGTACATCAAGAACCTTCAAGCTTACTTAGAAGAACATATGAACTTTTGGTCCATTGTTTACAAGAAAAAATTTAGTTTAACAATTATGATGATAATTATGGACTTATAATAATACCTGTAATTAAGCTATATCTCTCTATTGAAATGTTAATTGTGCATTGAACATAAATAAACTAGGATTGGTGTGATTTCTTTTTGTTCATTTGCTTTCCTATCATGGCAGGTACCAATTACCAGATGAGCATACTTAAAGGAGGATCAATATTATCTATATATGTCATGATGGTGATGATGATGATGATGATGATGATGATGTTGATGATGATGATGACGAACGGGTAACATAACTAAACTATATACTAGTGATATTAACTGTCTTGTTTCTGGCGAAGTCGTTGAAATCAATGAACAACTCAACATCTATTAAATTATTAGGATGACTGACATTTTATATCCAAACAATGGATTGGAGAAAAAAGGCATGTTCATGGATTCGGGTATCATTCTAGAACCAAGTAGGAAGTATCGAGGAGGCAACAATTGTACACTATGATGGAGTAATGAAACCATGGTTAGTATTGGCTTTAAAAAAACATAAAATCTATTAGATGAAACATTTCAAATACGATCACCCATATTTGCAACTGTGCAACATAGAATAGCTTCATATATTTCATATTGTAATTCAATTGTGATTCACATATGAATTACATGTGATTCACATGTAAATCATATGTAATTCACATATGAATTACATGTGATTCACATCATGTGATACACATGTAAATCACATGTGAATTACATGTGATTCACATATAAATCACATGTTATTCACATATGAATCACATGTAATTCATATATGAATTACATATGTTTCACATGTAAATCACATATGAATTACATGTAATTCACATGTAAATCACATGTAAACCACATATGAATTACATGTGATTCACATGTAAATCACATATGAATTACATGTGATTCACATGTAAATCACATATGTATTTTTGTAAGTGTTTTTGCATCAATCAATTTTTTTTTTTAATTTTCCTGTAGATTTGGAAGAAATTATGGTGAATATTAAATAGATTAAAAATGATAAATTGAAGAAAATATGGAAATATTGACACGAAGACATGAAACGCTTTGAAATTTGTATCATTTTTTGTTTTTTTATATTTAATTTTGTATCGAATAAGATATTTATTCTATTGTATTTATAGATTAGCAAATAAAAATGTGTCTTTTGTATGATATACTTACGAATATTATAGTATAAGAAATATGTATACATTCACTTGAAAATTTATGCTTATATGCTCCTAAAAGGTTGATTTTTTTTGTTAAAAAAGTTATAGTTTTTATAAAAAAATTTACTAAGTTTATAAAATTTACTGTTTTTTTTTTTTTAAAATGTAGCTTTTTGAAAAAAAATGTTTTTCAACTTTTAAAAAAAATTATGTTTTCTGAAAAAAATCTGCAATTTAAAAAATAACAAAAATTGTTATTTTTATAAAAAATTCCAAAATTTTGATTTATAGTGTTAATTTGAGAGTTTTTTTATTAATACTTCTAATAATACAAAAAGTTACATGAGATTGGTAAAAAGACGATCATGCCCTTAAGGAGTTAATTCCGATCCGACGTTTCACATTTAGTTCTCGAGTTCTCGGGAAACTGTAAGTTCTCAACGAATCTCATCCCTATATATATATATATATATATATATATATATATATATATATATATATATATATATATATATATATATATATATATATATATATTTGTTTGTTGCGAAGTTTAGTGAGCTAATATAGTTATTTATGGTTGATTATTGTAATATGGATCCCACACGCAAAGAGCACATCGTGCGTTTGTCATTTTCGAGCTTTGATTCTTCGATTCCTCCTACTTTCAAGGTACCTCTACTACATATTTTACCTTCTACTTAGTTCATAACAACCAATGATTCTGTATTTAGCATTTTGGAGGGTGTATAGTATTTTGCCACTTTGGCTTGTAATACTCGAAATTGATTAGCTAAATGTCTAGTTTAACTACCGATTACTAAGCCCCAATGCTTGATTTCTCCTTTAATCAGTTAATATATCCTTAATTTGAGGTTTCGTTTTTGGGGTAAAACCAAGGGTTTTGCTAAATCCATCGATTCATGGTGTTTTTGATTAAATTGATGGTGTATTCTACTAGTATAAGCTTCACCTAACATTCCCCTATAGATTCTAGGTTGAATTTTGGATGATTTCGGGTGCTTTTAATACCGAATGTTTTTCGTGTTCTTGAAGCACGTCGGTCATCTTCATTGCACACGATGTATCTTCATATTGTGCATGGTGCAGTTCTTGACACACATGAACAATATTTTCTGGTATTTTGCAATCTTTTTACTTACATTACTTTAATTCTAACTTTCTTGCCCTATTTTTCTGAGGTTATGTCTCGATCAAGTCATAGAGGGCTAGTCAGTTACCGCCTAACTAGCCATCCTATCCACTTCTACAGCTCACAGATAATATTCCCACTGAGCATCGGAGCTTCTTTGTTTCCCGATTGATTTCTCTACTGTCAGAGCAGTTTAGTATTCCTCAGGCCCTCCTATAGCAGACCGTTGATGTTATTGGATTGTCGGCGCGATTGGAGTGGTATCTCACTCGGGTGCTTAGTGATGATAACAGTCTTGGGATTTTTACCTGCACGGCATGTGGTATCGGATCTTCATGACACAGGAGGTCATTTATCACACTCGACTCTCGTTTCAACCCCTTAGAGAAAACCCTACCTTTGGTGCATCAATGAACTCGTAATTCATTTATCAATTCAAGACATGGTACTACGAGGGTATATGTGTATTTTCATTCCTTGTCTTCTCAATAAAACATTCACTGAATTTATGTGTACACATCACCTTTAATATATATTGATTTGTAGCCTACTATTGAATCATAGAAGCAAGGTAGCTTACATACATGCAATTCATGTTATTTTCACTTCGGGTCTGTTAGAATTTGCAAATTAACAATCTTCTGGTGAACTTTGTCATAGAGCTTATTATGATGCATGAAAGGTGTTTGTGGAAGTTCCTGAAAAATAATCTGACCATACCATGTGGTATTCATACTGTCAGATTTACTAAAATTTTGTGTTATTTATTTGCGATGCCAAAGCATTCTCATAGAATATTATTATTACATGATTTGATTCATGGCAGTTATTTTGCTAAAATGTCTAATTTCATTGATGATCAAGGGCTTGAAGATTAGATGATGGCTGAACAATTATCACTGGTCTTCGCAAAGGAAAGAGTTACTTTTCTGATAGAATAACCTACAATAGAATGATAGGAGTATATGTAATAATATATTCTGCTAGAATATTCAGGTCGAATAATATACATGGTTTTGTTTGTTATTAGTGAGTATTTCATTGTCATAGACTATTATATAAAGGTTTTATATTTTTAAGAACGTAATGAAAAATTTGAAGTTGTATCAAAAAAAAGTTTATTAGTCGGTGTAGGCATTCTAATAGAATATCATTCTAATAGAAATATATATCCTGAAATTCCTAAAGAATATGATTCTAACAGAATAAAATCGTGTTTAATTATAAAAATTACGTTATAATTAAAATTTAAGTAATTAAAAAAGACAAAATTGCAAAAATGGTCCCTATGGTTTGCATTTTTTCAAGAAAAAAGTCCAAACCACGAGTTTTTTGGTTTTGTGGTCCTTTTGGACTGGTTTGTTTGTGAGAATGGTCCTTATACTTAACACCCGTTAAAAAAAATCCGTTAACCCCCTCATGTGCCTTGCACGTGAGGGTATTTTTGTCTTTTTACTTACAGTGTCAACACTTCCTTCTACCTTTTATCCCTCATTTACAATCCCAAACACCCGTCAACTCCCCACCTCCCTCCTTCTTCCTTCTGCTCCATTAAACCTGCAAAAAAAAAAAGTCGTTATCGAAAGAACCTAATCGAAGCAAAAGGAGACAAGGTCATACTTTAAAGTCGAAATGGTGTACGTAATGTGGCAGATCAGACCAAAAAATGAAGTTGTCGACGTATCATCCTTATATGGTAAGTTGCTCTGTTTTCTTAAACATTCCTATTTTTCATTTTACCCTTGATTTATACTAAAATCCGCCAAATTTTGACTTTGTTATCATGTACAATTTTGACTTGTAGCGGGTGCACCCACATGGTTTAGTATTAAGCTTCATCATGGTGGGAAGTTTACTAAGTTACCTGACATAAAGTATACTGGAGGTGAAGTGCGTTATGTTGATTATGTGGACATAGATGAGTTTTCTGTACATGAACTTGATGCCATAATGCTTGACCTAGGTTACCCAGACCCACGGATGATTGAATTGAGTGTTGAATCCCCAGTGATATACTACCATTTCAGGATACCCAATGGTGACTTTCAATTTGGTCTTAGAGCTTTAGGGAATGATCAGGATGTTATCAATCTTTATAAATTTATTCAAAATAACAAGTTGATTGAAGTGTACACAGAACATGGGAAGACAAATCTACTCACATACTTCATGTCTCCAAATGCAAAGGGTAAAGTTGTCATTGAGGAATTACCAGAAAATGATGATCAAGGGGCTAAATATGAGGCTGAAGTTCATGTAGAATCTCCATTGAGAAATATGAACCATGTCAATGATGAACCAATTGGTGAGTACATGTCTTTGATTCTTTTTGGGAGTAAAACTGATGCATTCTCTCCAGAGTATAGAAGGGGTAGAGTTGGGAATTCAAAAAGAGAGGAAGGTTCTTGTAGCAAGAGGCTTAATTTAGAGGATATTGATGATTTAAAAGAGAAGGAAAACACTAATGAGGGTGTTAAGGAGGTTCATGAGGCTGCAACTGTTGTTGAAGGATGCTACAATCCATTTACTTCAAATATTGCTAATGTAGGGGATGAGATGATTGGGGTTCATGATAATGACCATATTGATGGATGCTACAACACCCCACCCATTAATGATGATGAACAATATAATGAACTTTTTGACAACCTTATGGAAAATTTAAATGGAAGTGATGAGTATGTTGAAGAGTATGAAGGGGATGTTGAATCTGAAGAGAGTGATGAAGAGTATGAAAAGGATGAAGGTGATGATCATGATGGGAAACAATCAGAAAATGAAGATAAAGTGGATGACATAATGGATGAGGAGAACAATATAGAAGATGTTGATGTGGACATGGCAGACTTCTTTCTAAATGTTGAAAGTGATGTTGAAGGAGCATGTATTAATGATGGTCATGAACCTGAAGATATGGAAGTGATCAACAATGAGGAGTTCGAATCATTGGATGAAGGATCAGACCAAGACAGAGAAAGAAGAGCTCTCATAAGAAATTTGGGAAAAGAAAAAAGGTGCAACCTTGGGTCAGTACATATACAGTCATTCTCAGTGGGGCAAAAGTTTAAAAGTAAAAAAGAATTAAAGGAGTTAATTGATGTGCACGCACTAGAAACAAGAAGGAATCTATTCTTTAAAAAAAATGACAGTCAAAGGCTTAGGGCACAGTGCAGAGGAGTTGTACCTGTCATCAATAAAGGTCAAGTGGGGACTAAACCTACCACTTCAAAAAGCAAGGGCAAAGAAGTAAAGACACAAAAAGAAACATGTGGTTGGTATATACATGCATCTAGGTCAAACCCGAATCTGATTGGTTTATAAGGACCTTAAACCAAACTCATACATGCTTACAAACAAGAAAACTCAGAGCTTGTACTGCTTCTTTAATCTGCAAGAAAATCATAGATCAAGTTGAGGCAGATCCGAAGATTCCTTTGAGAGCCATACAAGATCACTTTCAAAAGACCTACCAGGTGGGTATTTCAATGGATAAGGTGTTTAGGGCAAAAGATATGGCAAGAAAGCATGTAACTGGGGACTACACAAAACAGTTTGAGTTGTTGAGGGACTATGCTCTTGAACTTCAAGCTACAAACCCAGACACAACAGTCAAAATAGATGTGTGTCCTAATGGCAACCCTGCATCCCCAACAAGGCAGTTTAGAAGGATTTATGTATGCTTGGGTCCACTGAAAAAAGGTTTCAAAGCATGTCTTAGAGACTTAGTAGGTTTGGATGGTGCCTTCATGAAAGGCCCATTCCCTGGTCAGGTTCTTACAGCAGTTGGTCTAGATTCCAACAATGGAATTTATCCCTTAGCCTATGCAATTGTTGAGTCTGAAAACACAGCTAGCTGGAAGTGGTTTTTAGAAAACCTTGGGGATGACTTGGAGCTTGGGAGCAACTCAAACTATACTTTCATAAGTGACAGGCAAAAGGTAAATTAAAACTCATCAATTGATCATTTAGATTGTGTTTTTTTACCAAGAAATTAATTCTAATTATTGTATGTTGAGTCATGTAGGGATTACAAATTGCAGTTGATCAATTGTTTCCCAATGCTGAGCATAGGTATTGTATTAGACATATTCATGACAATATGAGAAAGAAGTGGGGGCAAACTGAGTACAGGGACCATTTATGGAGGTGTGCATCAGCAACCACCATTCCTGAGTTTGAACATTTGATGAAAGAGTTTAGTGAGTATGATAAGGAGGCATGTCAATGGTTGAAGCAAATTCCTCCTGTACATTGGGCAAGGAGTCATTTCTCAGGTAATTGTATATGTTTGCATATGGTAAAGATTATGTGTTTCAGTTATTTATCAGCATTAATTGTATGTTATTGTAATGTGCAGGAAGAGCTGTTTCTGATGTGTTGATTTCAAACATGTGTGAAGTGTTTAATGGGAAGATAGAGAAAGGCAGGGACAAACCTGTAATTTCATGTTTAGAGTTCATTAGGGAGTATCTAATGAAGAGGATATGCAATGTCATGAAGGCAATGAAGAAGGCTAAAGGTCCACTAACACCTACAGCAACAGACATCCTAGATGCAAGGAAAAAAGGTGCTTCACAATATATTGCTAGGTGGAATGGGGCAAACAAGTATCAAGTCACTGCAGCATTGCAAGATCAACATGTGGTGGATGTTAGGAACCAAACCTGTACTTGCAGAAAGTGGGAATTAATGGGAATACCTTGCAGGCATGCAATTGCAACTCTGAATGAAATGAGCAAAGACCCTGAGGCTGAGCTTGACATTTACAAGTGGGTACACAAGGTGTATTGGCTAGAGACATGGCAAAAAGCTTATTCATTTAAGGTGGAACCAATTAAAGGGAGACCCATGTGGCCTAAAAGTAATTGTCCAACAAAGCTAATCCCTCCTCCACATCACACTCAGGTGGGAAGGCCTAAGAAAAAAAGAAGACAAAGTGAGGGTGAAAGGTTAAGCAAAAGGCAGAAGGCAAGTGAAGGTGATGGAGTCAATGAGATGCAAGGAGAAAATTCCCAAGGGCCAAGAAATGATGGAGTGCAGAAGCTATCAAGGAAACATGTTAGTGTTACTTGTAGCAAATGCAAGAATAAAGGACACAACTCTAGGACCTGTAAAGGGCAAGGAGGGAATCAATCTAAGAAGTGATTGTGGTTATTTGTTGTGGTGCAATGACTATTTAGTTTCTTGTTGTTAAAAACTGTTTGTTTTTGAAAACTTTAGTTATGGTTTGATGATGTGGTTATGTATGGTGCACAGACACTTGTATGCTTAACTTGGTAATGGTTTTTGGTTCCACTCATGTGGTTAATGGAATGTTCATTTTGGTAAATTTATGACATGTATTTTGGTAATGTACTTTTGTTACATTTTGGTTCTATTTATGTGCTTATATCTGACAACTGATACACATTTTGAACACAACTGATACACATTTTGGAATTCATTACAAACATGATGAAGTCAAATTACAACAAAATTATACCATTTTTACCCTGCATCACTTGATCAACAAAAATCCCCACATTTGCCTAACCCTATCCCTTACATAGACCAAGTACTAAAGATAACAATCACAAACATAAACCAACTTGCACATAAATACATCTTCAGCTTGAAACCTTCATCCTTCAATGCATCACACCTTGCCTCCAACATGTTGTTCCTGCTCAAAAGTCCATTGCACTGTTCCTGTAACATGTTGATACTTCTTACCAGCCCATTACATCTTTCCTCCAATGTATTTATGTTTCTTAGAAGACCAGGTATGATGGTTTTACTCCTAGCACAAATAGGTGGGTCAACCCACCCGATAAACCCACAAACAGAATCCTTAGTAGGGCAAGCATAAAACCTCCTGCCGGGATTCAGTGGTGTCCAAGACGTTTTCACCAAAGCAAGCTTTCCACAAAAACAAACCACCATTGTTCGATTGCAAGTCAGGAAAGGAGAAATGGAAGATAATAGTCGTTGGGGAAGAACAGTTAAGAACGTTGGGGAAGAAGATTTGTTGGGGAAGAAGCTGGGAAAAGAAAACGATATATAAAGGATGTTTTATTTTCCATATGCAAAAATGGTCCCTATAAGTAAAAGGACAGAAATACCCTCACGTGCAAGGCACATGAGGGGGTTAACGGATATTTTTTAACGGGTGTTAAGTATAGGGACCATTCTCACAAACAAACCAGTCCAAAAGGACCACAAAACCAAAAAACTCGTGGTTTGGACTTTTTTCCTGAAAAAATGCAAACCACAGGGACCATTTTTGCAATTTTGTCTTAAAAAAAATAGAATTTTAAAATCAAGAGAGTTAATTATCCCAAAAAATATGGAATTTTCCAGTTTTAAATTTATCTCAATTGTTTAAAATACCTTTAGAATGAAATTAGATGGTATTTTTCAATTATCTTTGATTTAATAATATGTATTAATCATTTTCTTAAATTAAGTAAAATGATTGGTCCACATGTATGCATACAATAGTTTAAATAGAATAACCTAAGTCTCTATATATATATATATATATATATATATATATATATATATATATATATATATATATATATATATATATCAAGTATTTTAAAACTATAACCAGTACGTGGAGAAATGGTGTGATTGATAAGTATTGAGTATAACGAGCTTTTTCTTGCGATCTATGGAGTATAATAAGGCTTTGTGGAGAAACTTATAGAATTTACAAGTGAAATTAATAAACATACTTTAAGTAATTATTGAGTAAAATTGAATGGTACTAAGAGATTGAATTTCGAATTAATAACACGATTATATATATATATATATATATATATATATATATATATATATATATATATATATATATATATATATAGGGTAAAGTGAATATACCTAACAACCTTATATAAGCTTAGGTACCTAACCACATCATACTATGTAATTTTGTATCATATTTGCATTGTAATCACCCAAAGTGAATAAAATTCAACCTCATAACTTGATTGCTTCCAAAATCTTTGGACTTTCACCATTAGCTTCCTTCAAATGACGTCTTTCTATCGGAGACCCCCTGGTGGGCTTTATATACTACCGTTACAAATCAAATGGTGTAGGAAGAATATAATGGTGAATATATGAAAATCTTGGAAGTAAATCAAGTTAAGGATTAAAGTTTAAGAACCATAGATGATTGCAATGGAAATATAATGCAAAACAATGTAGTATAATGTGGTTAGGTACCTAAGCTTATATAAGGTTGTTAGGTATATTCACTTTACCCATATATCACTACTAGAAAAACAGCCTTTTATGATGCTCATTGCGTGTCGTAAAAGGCTCAGACGACGCGCAAATGCGCGTCAAGGAAGGCCCTGTCATAAAGAGAGATGACGCGCTTTTGCGCGTCGTCTATAGACGACGCGCATTTACGACGCGCAATTACGACGCACGTTTACGACACGCAATGCATATCAAGGAAGGCCCCGTCATAAAGGAAGACGACATGCATTCACGTGTCGTAACCTTACGACGTGCGTATTAATGACACGCAATGCGCATCAATAAAGCCCGTATCAAGAAACGCCATGTCATAAATGAATATGACACACATTTTTGCGTATCGTAAATTTAAATATTTTAAAAAAAAAATTATATATTTATTAAGTTTCAAATTAAATTTGCATTTAATTTCTCATAATATAAATAAAATACCATATACAAAAAATACAATCCATTAAATAATATAAAATAAAATTTCGTACTCAAAAAATAAAATAAATTGCACAAATCATAATGTCATATAAAGAATCATTCAAATGTTAAACAAAAATAATACATTGCTAACATGGGTTATACATTCCTATAAAACTAACAAATAATCATACAACTCTGTTTCTTACTGGAAAGGAATGCCAAACATGATTACAAGTCTCCCTTAATCTTGATTACTCACCTGCTTAAGTAGAATGCTGTTGTTGAGAAGGTTACCTAGCAACAGAGAAAAATACAACACCTCTCCCACAATCACAACATCATTTACAGAAAAAGGGTTGTCAATTACTTTCATTAAGACATTCATTCAATCACAAAAATATTAAATAAAAGGGTGAAAAAAATAACTTACTTATGATAAGTTGATCTCCCTTAGATCAAACACAGCTAAAGCATTGAACAAGACCCTATTTCAAAATTTTGTAAATACACAAATCATGATACCTGATATTAGAATACACACTTTGAGAAAAGAATACGAGTAGATTAACCTAGATACATAGGAAGTAAAGATGGAAGGTGCCAAAACTTCGGGGCCATTGGGTTGGTTCCTTCCCACCCGCACACACCAATTATCTAAAAACAAATAAAATTTTCTAAGTTTTTTTTCAAATATAAACTAAAGCATATATTCTATATAATACACTCACAAAAACGAAAAAAGGAAAAAAGAAAAAGTTGATGTATTACAGAATGCCATGTTTTTCCCCATGATGGGATGGTGGTGACACTGCCATGATCCAAAATCCATGTGCAGGCTTTGGTGCATGCACCATTCAGACCACCATCCAAACCTTCACCCAAACACATGACCAGTGAATACAAACACATGACCAAGGGCTGCATGATAACAAGATCTTCTAGAGCTTCTAGTTTGTCTAGTGATAAGGTGTTGTATAACATATCAACATCCTCAAACTCATCAAAATCCTCCTGCAGATGAAATGGTTTGTGGTGGTTTTACTTTTAGATGCTTTGTCAAAAGTGAAAACCACAAGATTCTTTTATCCTGAATTTGACAAGGTGGTATAGTGGAGAGAACCTCAAAGAAACTTTATGTATGACTGTTTGCATCTATATATAAAGAGAATAATTATTAATTAACATTACAGTCAACATGAAGTATGTGATATCCTTCACGGATCTATAATCCCCTTCTGAAACCGAAGTAGCAATCAACACCTAAAACAAAACAAAAAAAATGGTTAAGTCAACTATCTGACAAATAGTCAAACATTTTCCTTAAACTATTTGTTAAGTCAACATTTGGTCAATTTATACCTTACCAGATGCTGCCAATACATCTGTAATCAGAGAAACAGCCAACCAAACTTGCAAACATATCTGATGAGCAGCCATAGCTATAGGACCTTGCCTAGCAACCATTGATTTTGCTAAGGTTGTTGTTGTAAGTACTGCAAAATAAATAAATAACTGCAAATTCAAAAGTGAAAAATAATAAAACAAATAAGTTACTCACCAGATTTCTTATAGCAACATTAGAATTAGTAGTGTAATTTGGATATTGATGAGCGTAACTTGGATGGCTACCTTGATTCCATGAATTTGTCTAAGTATTCTAATTTGCAATTGGGTAACCACCAGATGTATGATAATCACCAGGATTTTAATAAGTTGTTGAATAAATTGCAGGCGCAGGATAGGACCCTGTATATCTAGAAATGAGGAAATAGGTTGATGAGGAGCACCTGTACTTTGATAGGCTCCTGCTGGCTGAACATATGTTTGACTAGGTTGAACATACATTTGACTTGACACATTTGGCTGCTGTTGAGGGTATGATTGATTTAGCTGCTGCTGCTGATAGCTACTACTATATTAACCTGCATATCCTGCTGCTGAAACAGTGCCAGTAGTTGCCACACTCAATCCATCTTGACGGTTTCATGATTGAGGTTCTGAACGTTGATCATGGCTGAAGTTGGCACTAGGATAAGTTGTGTTCCTTGACAATTCCCCTGTGTAAGTTAGTAAATAAATATCTGTCAGCTCAATCCACCAACCATAATTTTGAAAAATTACACAAACTAGTCGGGAAGATCTGGTCAGGTGTATAACCTGTATGAGTATTATACAAACATTCTCCTCAAATTGACCAATCCCAAGCAATAAATAAACACCATTAGCAATGTCATAAACCATAAGCCCAATCCTTCCACCAATCCAACTTCAATATTCACTTCCAACCAAATACCCAAAACGCCCATACCTTTCTTCCCCTAAATACCCAGCAAAATAAGTCCTAGAGAATGTTCCTGTACCCTTAAGAAACCCTTCAGTTACAGTTCCTCCATAATAAATGGCTTCAAAGAAATCCCACCCGGAAGAAATAATCGGGCCAATGATCCGTTTAGCTTTCCGGGGTGCCATTTTTGCAGCTTTGGCTCCATCTTTTTGGGCTTGTTTTGCAGCAGCTTTGGCTTCCATGCCTTTTGAAATTGCATCTGCTAGTGATGCTTCGATTTCTTTGTTTCTTGCTGGTAAAACAAGAGTTTTTAATCAAAAATAAGCTGAACAACTAATTAGAATGATATTTCATGCAGGAAAACTAATAATAAGACAGATGTAGAATTACTTAACTACACTAATTTTAATCATCTAGTTATCATATTCCTTTTTTTTTTGTGACAACCAACCTAGACACACAAGTCAAAATTTCCTAAAACGAATTACTTCTTTAGTTATATATCACCTAGGAATAAAGGAAAACACAATTAGCAAAAATAGAGTTTAGCTTACCAAATGATATCCCTGTATTTAAAGGTATATATATATATATATATATATATATATATATATATATATATATATATATATATATATATATATATATATATATATATATATCATTCTCTGAAGCTTCAATTTCAAGCGACTTTCACTTAATCAGGAAGAAGAAGGAATAGAAAAACCAAAAAAAAAAAAAAAATCAGAAGAAGATGCTCGGTTTCTTTGAATAGGAGAAGTAATCAAGTAAATCCATGTTAGTGATTTTCCTTCAAATAAAAGTATAAACGAACCAGAATTTTGGAGGAATCAAACCAGGTTAAGAAGATGAAGGTTCCTTTCTTTAATGGTCGTTCCTTTCTTCAATGATCTGCAACAATTTTCATGTGTACTAGAAATATAGCCCCCAATGAACAAACAACTAGTCCACCAAGTATAATGATTATATATATTATACCTGTAGAGTTATAATAGATGTGTTGTTTGACAAGCTATAGGATGCATCAATCATTGAGAAGGATGATACATGATCATTTTTCCAATCACTTCCATCCTGCAATAAATATATATGTATATAATAAAGATAAGGGTTGTATATTTAAAAAAAAAAAAAGAATTAACCTGTTGTGCGAGTGTTCCATGGCTCCTTCATCACTAATATTGTCTGATGTCAACATTGTTGACATTGTTAAACTTGTATCTGTTGATCATAAGTACATGTGTTATTTGCTCCTTTTTTATAAGGAAGTCAGAATGTCCAGCTTTAGCATTTAACAATAAAGCAATCCGTAATTTATATTCAGGTCAACCTCATTTGGTCCTTTTTTATATGAATTTCTTAGTAAATGTTTATATTATTATAATATATATGTACTTACGTTAAATATAATTGTGAAACCATTTAAAAACAATGATAATAATAATATTAGTTTTTTTTGTGAATAGAGAATGCAAAATATGCAGAGGCGCTAAAGGTATATTTGTTGTCCAGGGACCACTTTAATCTCAAAACAGAATTTCTAGTGGGAATTAACCAGGTAGGTTTCTATTCAAAAACAAAAACATGTTATTTTATTTTATTTTTATCAAATTCAAAATAAACTAATATCAGGTGCGTGGAGGTCCAACTTATCTAACATCTGTGAATCTTTTTTAGCTGGTGGGTCACCTTTTTCATCTGTTGTTTTCATAATGTTGTTATTTACTAGACAAGGCTGAAGAATAAGCATTCGGTTAAAAACAACAAAAAATAATATAACAAAATTAGAAATGAATATCAATACCTAAGGTTGGATCCAAAGTATCAGGAGCATAGAGGTCCATATTATCCATCATCTGTGAACCTTTATGAACTGGTGGGTCTCCCTTTTCATCTGCTCTTTTCGAGGAAGTTGGCTATCGTGTGCAGGTATATATCAATACATCAAGCTGTGAAAAAGCATTTATGTGCAACATTAACTAGCTACCAGTGAAATTATGTATAATCCACCAAATTAGAGCAGAGATAATTGGTTAGGATGACACTTACATTTTCTTGGTTTTTGAACAAGTTGATACCTTCTTCGTTGGACATAAGATCTTTGGAACCAATAGAATTTCATTAATCTGTGTAGAATGGGTAACCAGGACCTTTTACTCTGCAATTCATTTTTTTTCACAATAAATAAAATATTAATGCCAATTTTCCCTTTTACTCTAAAACTAACAAGAATATGCTAATTTCTAGAACATAATCGAATTCACTTAAGATTGAACAAGAAACAAGATGCGTTCTCACACAAAAAGATAAGAAAAATAGATGAGTTATGTTATTATGAAAAAAAAAAACTCATTTATAGGAAGAAGCCCTAAAATCAATGTTAAAACAAAGTGAAAAATAGAGATTTGAGGACTAATAACTACTTGAAGAAAACATAGAAACGATCCAAAGATCTAAATGATAGAAAATATAATTTTTAAGTCCAACTGGGTATTTCATTTTCGTTCTTTCCTTCGATCGGACTTGGTTAGTGTATTTCTTTGTCATCTCAACCCATTCATGCCTAAGAGAATCTAATTTGAACTGTGTTTTATCATAGTTCTTTGTGTTGTTGGCCTCCATAGTTGGCTTACTGAAGATGGTGAAGATTTTGCCCTAATTCGTCGGTATGAGAGGAAGAAGAAGAAGAGACGTATAGTGTTAACGGATCCAAATACAAAAAGGTACCGAGTGTGGATGGAGAAAAGGTAGATGAACGATGGTAAGCACAACATACCTTTGTGTAACCAGTTGAGGAGAATCGAACCCGTCAATCGGATGTTGGGCTTGTAAGGAGAAGCGATTTCCGATCGGTGGAGAGAAGGGAAGGAGAAAATGAAGGTCTTTGTCGGATGGTAGCTCTGATTGATAAAGATATCTCAT